AGCTAATTTCGTGGCCTTCCACCCCCCCGGCTTATTAACCCACTTTTCCATCACTAAAATCCACTCGTATTATCTAGAGCTTACCAATGTTATCACGCACCCACCATCAAAATATTTATCCCCACACTTAGTTTACATTAGCTACAACCCTGAAGTAATACATAGCCGGGTCCGCCTTTGTAGAAACAGATGCTGCTATTATTCAGGGGTGGCGCCAGGATTTGCCAGACGGGGTGTCCGACGTCCCTGAGAGGAGGGGGAGGGGAATTTTCCCGACCAAAAAATGGGCGTAGTCGGGCGTCGCTTAAAACATCTCGAAAGCCCCCGAAAAATATGACAATTTAGGGGTTTCAAAGACTTATTTAATCGATTTTAGAGTATGCCTACTAATAGGCCCTATGTAGAAAATACATAAGCCTACATTTTATTTCTCCCCGACAAATTGTGGTTTATCTCTCAGACCGGGGAGGGGTGGGCGGTGGGGTGAAAGCAGCTCTCCCCGACGGGAGCTCTTTTTTTTTTTTTTAAAGAAGCAATTGTGCCGAGTTTCAGTGTTAATATCAATAATAATAATAATTGTATAAAATGAGTAGTGGTTGACTCCTCATACGTTTTAATATAATCCTCTGCCAACAATCTAATACTGCTAAACCAGCCAAAACTGTCTTCAACTTTATTGAAAATATCATCACTGGGGTCGTATGTACACCGTGACCTAGGCAGGTGACTCTGCGAGCGTGAGGTATAACAGTACAGTATAATCCTCGATGCTTCTCATGTCCAATTTATTTTAAATTCTATAAGATTACAATAATGAAATAAAAGTGAAACTAAATCTGCTCCAAAATTTATTTGTACCACAACTCCTTGGTCACATTTTATTTAAGAGTTGTTTTGAGCTATTAAACTCGATGCCTCGGTATTGTGTAGCAGGGAATTTATTATTTTGTCATATGAAAATTATTGCTACCCTAACAACTTTACAATGATTGCTTCTATTCTAGTCCTAAATAACGTTCCTGAAACCATTCGGTCCAACATAGTCATGTGCACATGCATCCCACTTTTCTCGTAAGGACCCCCCCCCCACAAAAAAAAAAAACAAAAACAAAAAAAAAACCGAGAACCCCCATGCCTACGCTGGCTGTACAATACAGCAGTGATGTAATGCAACTGAAATGAATCTGCTTTTAAATTTATTTTTCACATTTTATTTGAAAGTTGTTTTTAGCTATTGACTAATATTCGTAGGTTTAATCCTTATTTTGTACACTAAATCTGAACATCAAAATTCCCGCGATACTTGTGAGGCCTATCGCAGAAGCCTGTGTTGAGTCGATCCAATGTACAGTCAAGGATAATTTGCTGATGACGAAATAATTATTCTGATGAATATTTAATCTATGTTCCTCGTGGCTGCCAGATTTAGTCAGCATGTTTGCTATACCGCCCTCATTGGTTTATTGTTAATAATGCCATATTCAGCGAAACTTGCGTACATTTACAAAACCAGGAACATATGGGGTGCCATACCCAGCAAAATGTTATGCTGAAATCAAAATTTAATTGCAAAATTCAATGTCTAATTTATCAAAACATAGGTCTAATGTCTCAAAATTCAGGTCTAGTTTCTCAAAACGAAGTTCTAATTTTTCAAAATGTAGTTCTAATTTCTTTAAAATGTAATTCAAATTTCAAAACGTAAAACGCTTTCTCTAAATTCCGTTCTAAACGTAAATCAAAAACCACCCAAACATGACTGGTTTGATTTAAATTTTACTACGACAACTAGACATTCGAAATGTAAATCAAACTAGCCAGCCAAGCATGACGGGGCCCCTTCTATTAATGATAGGGGAATCAATTTTCCCTGTAGTCCAAAGCCATGAACAACGGCCAATAATATAATAAAATTCTGTATTGTCATACGAACACATGTTTACATTTTAACAAGGTCGAAATTAACGATTTTAATTTTTAATACCGTAAAACCTTGAATGGAAGCCCAATGGGTTTAATCTCGAAATGAAGCCCATCTCGAAAAGAAGACCATGGGCTTTTATTTATAAATAGCAGAGGATTTTTTTCCGAAATAGTATACTGTACATAGATTTTAAAATAACAAAATAAATCCAAAAAACACACTTGGTTTATACAGTTTAGGTGACTTAATGCCGGTTAATACATTCCATAATACACATTGATGTTACGACAGTGGCTCTATTTTTGTTTTATAGTAGTAATTATACCCAAAATTTCTAGGCTTCTTTTCCCACCCCCCCCCCCTGTTTTTGGATGGGCATCTTTTCGAGGCTAAATTTGCAAAGTAAGAAGGGGGGGGGGGCTTATTTTCAAAATGAATGATGTTGGTTCATAAATTATACTATAAAACAATTATATAAGGCAACTGTAGCATCAATGTGTATCATGGAGTGTATTAACCGGCTTTAAATGACCTAAACTACAAATGCTCATGTGCACTTTAAAGCCAAGCTCCGGAGGAAAACAATTATTTGATATGTTGCTGAACTGATTTTTTTTATTGATTCTCCCATCATTAATGGATCGGGCCCCGTCATGCTTGGCTGGCTAGTTTTGATTTACGCATTTCGCATGTCAAGTTGTCGTTGTAAAATGTAAATCAAACCAGTCATGCTTGGGTGGTTTTTGATTTACATTTTTGAACAGAATTTGGACAGTTCGTTTGATCAAGTCAGACCTACGTTTAAAATTTGAATTACATTTTAAAGAAATTTTTGAAAAATTAGAACTTCCTTTTAGGAAACTAGATGAGTGGACCTACATTTTGAGAAATCAGACCTGTTTTGATAAATAGACATTGAATTTTGCAATTAGCCTACATTTTGTTTTTAACATAGACTTTTGCTGCGTATGGCACCCCATAGGCACATGCATGTGCCAACGTTCCTATAGGAAAAGATTGTATCATTTTCCTCTAAAGGTCACATTTTCCGACTTAACTATTAGAAAATATGATTTTTTTTGTTTTTTTGACCTAGTGTATTATGCTTTGAAAATCATTTCTCTAACAAACTGAAAAAAATAGTGTAGTTTACACAGGACACGCCCGGTTTATGCCGCCTGCTTAAACTGTTTTCAATTACTAATTACAAGAAATTCGTTGTCTTTGTTTGGTTCCAGGGAGAGAACGGGGGAGGGAGCGAGGGAGGCAGCGAGGGAGGGAGGGAGGGAGAGATTACACGGAACTTGCCTTGGTCTAGGCCTACTTAGGCAAGGATCAGGCTAGGCTAGGCTCTACTACTACTGTTTTACTACAGGGCACTGTTCAACACTGGTCTTCGTTGTCTGTGTAAACGGGTGCGATCCGAGAACATCCAACGTTTTTTTCCTTAAGTGTAAATGGGGTTTGGCTCTGGTGTCACATTTGTGTTTCTTTTGGCTTGGTAGTGTAAAAGTGGTATAATACCCCTTTACATTGCAAGCAAAGTCCAGACACAACCCGGGACTTTCTAAAACCCGGGGTAGAAACTCCAGAGTTGTGGTTAGTGTAAATGGCCAAAAAAAAAGAAAAAAAAAAGAAATACGACTTTTGTTGCTGAACATCACGGGTTCGTTGTACGGGACACATTCAACGTTGGACAGCCCAGGTACACACTGGAGTTGCCAGTGTGAACAACACCGAATTCAATTCTGGATACCGATTAATTATGTAGATTAATATAACATAATATGCCAAAAAATTTGTTTTTGCATTTTTATATATTATTTTTTTGCATTTTGCACTCTGTTTGTCTTGTACTGTTTGGGCCTATCTGATCGTTGCATCTGAGTGATAATCCGTGCAACACCACGGATTCAGTTGTTGAAAATTAACTGTCAGCTTTCCGAAGGAGAAACCAAACTTCTATCCCGAGGACTCAAATTTTGCCCAAAACCGAGGCAGGCTGACCCACAACAACTATCTTTGGATCTGGAAGCTTTCTTCCGACGTTTAAGATGCCGTGAATTTTTCGCCGATTCCGACGGCAACACCACGG